GAATATCAAACTAAATCTGCATGCTTAGTGCTAACTTTAAAATTTTGGTTTTGTAATTCAAGGCGAGTTGGTGCCAATTCAGAGAGTGGAGAATATACGAAATAACAAATACATGTATTTTATATATTTTTGTTGAATATCTGTTTCAATTGTAAGTCCAGATTCAAGCTGGGTGATTTCCCTGAAGCTCCTTAAAGCTGTAGAGGAATATATTTTGACAAATTGAAGTGGAAATAATCAGTTCAGTAGATAAAACTCAGAATTAAATGATGTTAACCTCAATGGTAAACCTAAATTAACTTAAAAATTAATGTCATTACAAGTGGCTTTTTTGTTAAATATTACTTTCAGGAATTGTTCTGATAGTGAGAATGTTTTAGATATCACAAAAATTGAAGGATTTATCCATTACTATTCAAATCATGTAATTTGTTTTACTGGTTTAAAACTGTCATATGATGATTTAATGCAGGGTTTGCCAAGAATCAGTTCTCTTTCGGAGATGGTATGGATCACGTTGGTAATACAGTGACTCTGGTGTCTGGGAAAAGCTCATACCCCTGTCGTATACACAAAGATGGCTGTACTGAAAAGCAGATCATGTGCTATACTCCGTAAGTACCAAACTGTACATATCTTCACATTTTTGTTATATTATATTGTTTTTGGCTGTGATTTAAGGATCTAAAGCAGCCTATTGGAGCACATACTGATTCTCTGAAAGTTTTGTGTTGGCAAGACAGAGATTCACGAAAAAATCCAAATATTTTTGATAGCTCATTCAAATTTTGTGATTCTGTTCTGAACTACTGCCTTAATATTCTATATGACAAATTTTAACAGGTTATCATGAAGAAAGTAGGGCTAGCTTTGATTCTTTCAATAACATCAACTGACATCCCTTCTATCCATTTTACATATACAATGTACATGTATTGCATGTATTACATTTTGCATACATTTCAGCCCACTTGCCCAGGACAACTACTATGTGCGTGTGGCTATAGATGGAAAGATGATAAGTGATGACAGACTCTGTAATGGAAATCCATTTGCTTACGATTGTTTGTTCCAACCCCGTTCTCAGAACACCCCTTCTCTGCAAACAATCTCCCCACGTTCTGGACCACCAGGTATCAATTTGTAATTAAATATGATTAAACTCACCCCCCAGTATGTTCAATGTGTTGAACTGAAATACCTTATACCAGAAGTGTATTGAGTAAATATTTTCATGTAAAAAGTGCTATTGGTGCAGTGCAGTTATATATGTATATTATATGTTATTAAATTATTTATAGGGACTATTGTCACAATGTATGGTAAGCTATACACTGATCTCTATGGAAGCAACCAAGAGAAAAGTTCAAATGACAACTCTGCTGATATCAAGAGAGTCTACTTTGGAGGACAGAAATGTGAAGTCAAAGTGCCAGATACTGAATCCAACACATTAACTGATGAACTGTAAGTGTTTTTTGTATGTGTGATATTTATGAGTATTGTTGTTTAAGTTTCTTTGGCTTATACACTTTTAAAAGAAAGATGAATTCTAGAGATTAAGAGTCCAGCATTGTCTAATTGAAATAATTGATTTTATGAGCAAACGGATATTCACTTAAGGGATGACGTCCAAATGTTAATCTCATTATGGTTTAATCCCCCATAAAATGAGATGTGAAAATGTTGATTTGCCATTCTCTTAGAAATCATAGTTTTTACTAATGAAAACATCATTTACCCCCTCCCCACAATATTTTTCTTCTTCAAAAGTTCATTCATCATATAGAAGTTAAAAGGAGACGTTACATAATATAAGTTTGTCGTCTAGTAACAGTTCACCTGAAATGATTATGTATTTATCAGAACTAAGTGACTTTAAGTGTCAGTTTTGTGGACACATTACTAATCAGGAAACACCCTTAATTAATGTGAAGCTCATTGATTTGATTATGTCTGCTTGCATTGTACAATATGGCCATCAATGATTTAACAATTGATGATAACAGAAAATATCAATAACTGCATGCTAAAACCATTGTAAAGTGAAAAGGTTGACTATGCTTAATTGTATTTATCAATATTTAGTCTAGTAATCGTCATTGGTTAATGACTATGACATCAGTTACTTTAGAAAGTGTTCATTATAATATTATTGATAGTGAAATGTTGCAGAAACATGAACTGCAAACACTCTATTTAGATTAACAAAGAGCCTCAATCAATGTCTGAACATGCAGTTTTAGAGAATACTTGAATTACTTCCATGAATGCGGAACAGTTCACTAGAGCGATATTTTGTGTATCATTCAATATCAAATTTTCCTTTTACTTCCATAAATACATATGAATTCCATATTTCTTTTTTAACTTTTAAATTTTTGACATGTACAGATCTATAATCTGTCAATCTATTTAATCTATAAAAAGTATTTACCAAAGTTACATCATGATAAATACCAAGACACCAAAAGGCATATATTGATCCTATACACATATATGATTTTCAAAATGTTAAATTATCACAACATTTACATATCACAAACACTATCAATCAAGGTTAATGATTATGTAACTCGACCTGTGTTACAACAATGCTTCAAAGTAATGAAAATTTTAAGCCTCCACACAGTGTTTCAAATATATTTCAGGTATGGTTTAGCACTAGATGATGGAGGGAACCATGGGACCCTGAAGTGTAAGATGGAGGGTACATACATTGGCAGTCTCAATGCTAGTGTTATTGTCTCAACACCCTATGGACGCACACAAGCTGACCTTGACATGCTTCACGTCACTTCTAACAATAAGATTGCCATGTTCCAGACATACGCGGGTATGTTATACCCATATTTACTGTATATAGTAGCTTTAATAGTGTTCTCTCCATTGTTTTCTTTGGTGAAAAGTCCTTTGATTATATCTATTTTCTAGATATGATGCAGGTTCTTTTTTATTTTGTTTTTAATAGATTAGGTTATGTTAATTTGAATGTGATTGATAATGTTCATGATGTGTTCCAGAGGTGACTGGGGTCAGCCCAAGCAGTGGCAGTACATCAGGAGGTACCAGGATCACTATTACTGGAAGACACTTTGATGAAACTAATGCTCCAGCTGTAGTTGACATATCAGGTATTTTACAGCTATTGTACACCATTAATAAGTTTCAAAGATTTCATTGAGTAACATATTTTAGGCATCTTTTCCCCGGGATCTTTTCAAGCTGAAACTGAAAACCATTTCCATAGTAGTATAAAATCCTCTTCCTCTTAAGCTTTGATTGGCTTATTTAGACTTGACTTATTTTGATCCTGCAATGCCACTGGTACACCATTAACATTACATAACAGCAGTGCATTTTGCAACAGTACAAGAGCAGTTATCCACATATGAGGATAATTGCATTACAATACTGACAGCTAGTTGTTAACATTTTTGATAGAATAATGTATGTTTCTGAGATTGTGCTTACTACTTTGGAAAGATGATATCTATCAGTAATGTATGTTTACAGGATCTCCATGTACAGTAGAGTCTTTGTCTGATACAACTATTGTTTGTGTCACTGGACCACGTCCTAGCAACCAGAATCTGTACCCTGGCAACCGTGGAATCAACAAAGAAATGTGGAACTCCACTTCTGTATCATTTAATGAACTAGAAGAGGTGATGAACTACACAGAAAACAACCCTCCCAACTACTCCATTGAGTGGATGGATGAAGCTGCATTTAAAGACACATCAAACAAAGATAACTTTGTCACAAGGCTAAGGGGATTCTTTGTGCCACCTGTCTATAGTGAATACATGTTCTATATCAAGTCTGATGATACCAGTCGTCTCTACCTGAGCCAGTCTGCTGACACTGAAAATAAGGTATTAACATTTCTTCATTGATTGAAGTACAGTTCATGTACTCTTTATGCAAATGGAAAAATAGAAATGGAGACATTATACATAAATCAAGTTGACTCATTTCAACATTTAAATCAGCTATTACAATTGCAACAAATTAATTAATCTATCCTGATGCTTGAACTACCTCAAACTAAAATAATAGTAATATAATCAAGTAATTCAGTATGTTTACTTATCACATTTTAGACAGAGGTGGCCTATTGTAATGCTGCACGCTCCGGTTATTCAAAGTCAGCTCAGAAGTCAGACAGAGTAGCAATGGAAGCTGGCAAGAAGTAAGTGATCAGTACCTGCAGGTATTTCTGCTTAACTCACATTTTACATATTCCGTTCTGCTCATTTTCTAGGATTTACAAGGTTTCCTTGACATACATGTATGAACTGGTCACAAAATTAATTATCTAGGGTTTTCAAATCTCTCAAATCTGATGCATGTTTTGCAAAGTCTTAATAGTTTTTAAATATCTATTATAATTAGTGTATTGTGATTGATATTTTACAATATCTCTTAGTTTTGAACAATTTTGATGCTTATCGTTGTTTTGAATGAAAGTCACTCGATTGACAGGGTTGTGGTTTTTAATCTTTCTTTTTAAATTAAGTTCTAATATGTTTGGTCACGGTAAGTATAATACTAAATAATACTGGCCACTGTACTAAATATCTATTATGGTCTACATTCTAGGTATTATGTAGAGGTGGTACAACAGGAGGGCAATGGTGATGCTTCTCTATCTGTGGCTGTAAAGATGTTCACCACCAAGTTCACTAGTCAGGAATCTGGGGATGTGGACACAGAGAGGCAGACTTTATTCATTTTGTCTACGAAAGTCAAGGAACAACAGGTAGGCCTATACCAATATAATATATGTGTGGGCCTGATTAATTGCTAAGTGTAAGTAAACTAAAGTAAAAAGTGCTATACATTTTTTTTTCTTTGTGTGTTAGATAAAAATTGATATATTGGTTTTTTAGACCGGACTTTTTTTCTTAACGCGTTTTGAATTTTACATCTAATTTTTTTTAATTTTTATGATTTGATCTATTGAAGTAACTTGTATAATGCATATTGTGTGCATGTTTCAGTCTGTCGATCTGGAGAACTGGTCCAGACAATCATCTACAAATGAAGTCCAGAGGGTGACAGTGAAGTCTCTCAATGGAGCCATCAGACTAGGGATGGATGGTGTATATACAGGTATTGAATTCTTTTTAACATACTAAAGAGTGGGGAAGGAGTAGAACATAGGGTTTGGAAATTAAGTGAGATAAAGAAGTTTTTAGTTCATCATTTTTCATCTTATATATTTGTTTTGTGGTCTAAATGAAGATTAAAGAATAGAGAAAAAACCTCAATTTCCCATGTTTCATTTGGGTAATAAGATACTTGTGGATTAAACTACTATGAAGAGCCATTATTTAGTGTTCTTTTAGTTTAATTTTTGAAAAATATTTCAGGTCTGATTCAAATGAGTGACCCAAATGCAGCAACAGTGATGGCAAATGAATTGAGTAAACTGCCAACTGTGTCACCTGACACTGCCCTTGTCACATCAACACCAGGCGGCTCTTCAATAGAGTTTGTTGTCACCTTTACTTCTACAAGAGGTAAATTATGTTATATATGGTTCATACATTCAAATATGTTGGGCATGTGTTCAAATTGCAAATAAAATGCAAGAGTGAGTTTTTGTTTGTTGTTACCTTTATTTCTAGTAGAGCTAAGTAGGTTTATAAGAGTTTTTCTTACTTATTGAATTCTGGAAAGGCACAATAGTTATGTTGAGGAGATAATTTGAAATGTTTTTCATTGATCACAAATCTTACCAGTTCATATAAAGAGAATGATATTTTTGTTTACTTGGCATTTTGTATGTACACTTTAATGCTGGATGCTTAACTTTTAATTTTGAAACTTCCCCAGGTGATTGGCCTGCCTTGACTTACAAAGTGGCCAACGGAACAGCTAACATGGTGGTCATTAAGGAGCTAACCAAAGGGGTTCCAAGTTTAGAGACATTTCAGCTGGAGTTTGATGGTGTCCCAACTGTTCCACTAGCCATAGATGCTACTGAAAATGAAGTAGGATGTATATATATTTACATTCAGAAAATTTGCAATATACACAGTTTTCACATCAACTGATGATAAAGACTGCATCCTTAGTATATGTAAATAGGCTTAATGCACACTGTCTTATAATCTCTTGCACACAAATAATGTTATTGTTTTAATCTATGGTAATGCACTTTCAGGTAGAGACAGCCATCAATGACTTATTCAGCTACAGATGTCCTACAGAGATTTCAAATCCTCCCAATAATAGAAAGTTCTACTTTCAAGATTATGAATCTAGCTCATTTGGTGGTTTTCAAGATACAACAGAACAACCCTTCTGTGGTCGAAGTTCTATAAAAAATCCATGGAAGTTGTTTGACAATAATAATTCGCCTATCTTTCTTTCAAAGAACAAATATGTAAGTTATCACTTTCTTTAAAACCAATTTGTCAAAAATTCTTGTTCTAGGACATTTATGATGAGCATTTTTTGATGATTTAAATAACTGGAACAATTATCAACCAACATATTTATTATGTAATACTTATATTAGTAGTATGATATACATGATATAAACTTTCATGCATTGACTGCAATATTAGTGTATCAATGAACTCTTTGACATATTTTTATTTTGATATGTCTTAGAATCTATTTGCAAGTTACAATTTGTTTGAAATTATAATTTCATGTTTCTCCAAAGTAGCCTTAGTGTTTTCTAGTCTAATACTATCTGATTTGCTTTAGCTCTGTCTGGCCTACAGGGGCGCCTGGAGGAACCGTATCGTCCTTGACTACATTTATGTAGATGCTGACTTTGAAGAACAAAGCAGCACTGTTGTAATCGACCATGATTTATATACTGATGAGGACGCTGATCGTGAAAGGTAATGTGTAATATATATATATATTTTTTTTTACTTTAGGTAGTGATTGAAAATTATGTAACTGTTTAAAGAATAAGAAAAGAAAGATAACATTGAGATGCACATCTGAAGAGGATATTATGTATAGTCTATTGAATTGAAACAAGAAACTAATTTAATTATTTTAATCATGTGTTATTTATTTTAGTTGGAAATACACTTGTGTTGAAATGTACTCACATGTGTTTGCTGCCAAGCCCACTGGTAATTTCTTTGAGGGGACCAGAATTCGTTTGTCTAGAACTGGTAATGCTTGGGTAGATGTTGTCTACATTGGTAGTAAGCCTACCGTCTATACACCTCAAAATCCCACCATAACACTCCTTGCAGAAAGTAAGTCTAACTGTTTTTCAATCCATAAAATAGTATTCCAAAATGATAATAATTTTATATCTTGATTAAGAAGCATAATAGAATATGGGACATCCCAACAAGAAAATGTTCAACTATAAAAGTACACCATGAAATATTATGTTTCCGTATCAATTTTTTTTAGATAATGAGATTCAAGAAAAGTATTAAGTATAATAAATAAGCGATATATTTTAATAAATATTGTAATAAAACACTTTATACATCTAGAAGGATGTCCAGAGAATGCATTATTAGATGTATAAAATGACTGCTGAATAAATAAAGATATTTCAATTTCAAATATGTACAGGTTCATTTTATTTTATACATCAATTATTGTACAGAATGGGAATATATGCACAGTGGATGGGACATTTACTAGGGACAATACAGATGAGAGCCGACGAAACTTTTATTTATTCATTTGGTCTATGAGGTCGCATTCTAGCTACAATTGTGATAATGTCTGTCTTGGTATTTTACAGATATACCAGATCAGAGAGTGGCTCCACCTAGGCCAGGGGGTCAGATGATTGACTCTGTAACATTATCCAAGAGTGACAGCCAGATGAATATCACAATGAATGCCCTGGAATGTTCACATGACTTCCCCCTGTTCTCTGTCAGAGGTGGCAATGTAAGTTTTCAAACAAATTGGTTGACAACAGATGCTCATAGTTTTTATTTTCAGTTTAAATGAAAGGTTGAACATCCTCTTCCATTAAGCCTACAGCCCTAAAATAACACCGGTATAACCTGATTGCCCATTCTGCTGATTTTTACTGAAAATACTTTTTACCTCACTTCCCAAATTAACATACCTCGTCCTTGAAATGAATCCTGCGTAGGTTACTAATATAACAGCATGTGTGTATATTTTGTAGGTTCAATCTGGTAGTAAAGCTTCTGGTAGTGCAAGTGCTAGGTTTGGCTCCTCTGGATGGGGGTCTGCTAAAGCTACAACCACCAGGCTAGCTTCTGCCACACCACCTGTTGGAGGACATTTTACTATCACATTCAAGGGTGAATCTGTTGAAAGTGAGTGCTATAAAATTCCCATTTTGATATATAAGTCCTGCTTAACAATTTTAACACACTTCCATGACACATGTTTGTAATATATTAATAAGTAGTAGAATCATAATACATGAACTGTGTGCTGTATTTGTAAAGCAACTAAAAATAAATGAATTGATATAATTTATTAATCAACAGATGAATTTTGAGCTTGGTGTTGTTGCCAACTTTTCATCTGGATCTGCTTTCCTGTAAATGTTCTCCTGTTAATCAGTGAGCCAACACTGAAGTATGGTTATATCTGGTGAATTGTTTTTCAGTGCCTGCTGATGCCACTGCTGCTGAGTTCAGTGACATCTTCCAGACTATGTCTACCAGTGGGCTGGTGGAGATACATAGAGGAAATGACTGTTCTGGCTACCTTTGGTCAGTCACCTTCCTCTCTAACACTGGGGATCAAGAAACAATCCAGGTTTGTGTGTACTGTTTATATGCATTCCATCATTAAGTTTACATATAATATGTGTGCCACAATGCCACCAGAATACCAAGTTATATAATGTAAGAGTTTCTTTGAAGCTCTGATTTAACAGAGCTTCCCCTTTATCCTCCACAATGATTTTTTTAGAACAAAGTTTTGTTTGACAGATTGTTAATACTGTTTGCTGCTTTCAGCTTGATGGGTCAACATTGACAGGTAATGAAGTAAGTGTCCATACCAATACAAACACTGATGGAGGGGTATTCCTGAATCCAGTACAGGGAGACTGGCTCAGAACTGCTCACGCAATACCACAGGTAAGATCCCTCCTGATCAGTTCAGACCATGTTTTAGAAAAATAAAGTTTTTACAATTATGTATGAAATCACACATGTTTACTATTCAGAGATTGTATTTGAAGAAAATTATGTCTTCATTGTTGACAGGTTTCTGTGGAGATTAACAACATCCCATCAGCCTGCTCTGGTCAGTGTTCTTTTGAATATACTGATGCTAATACACCATCTATCACTGGAACCACACCACAAGAAGGTTAGTCTATGAAAATTTAAAATATGCATAATTTTAGATGTACATGACTGTATGAGTGACTGTCAGACTGATGATGTGTATTAATACTAGCATGCTCAGATGCTGACTGAAACATGTTATACTACATTTAGTTCAAACTGGATTGTTAACTGTTGCAAGTCTAAGTGTAAGTTAGAAGGATAATATTAAAAGACATTTCGGAGAAGGTAGACAGATATTTGGCATTTCAGTGAAACTAGTGAACTTAACTGTGTAGATATAACATAAGTGAGGTAGTTTGATGGTAATGACCAGAAAGAATTGTACTATATTGCATGATACAATAAATACTTTCTTTGTAGGTTCAGCAAGTGATGGTACACAATTGGTTATTTCTGGAACATCATTTGACAGCAACATTAACAACAACATGGTGACAGTGGGAGGAGTCCCCTGTCAGGTGACAGCTGCAACAACCAATCAGATCACATGTGACATTGGCATAGGGCCTGCTGGAAGTGCAGATATTGTTGTAACAGTTGATGGACAGGGAGAGGCTCTTCACATTGGAAATACATCATTCACCTTCACTTATGTAGCTTATGTGACAGCTATTGTACCAACTGCAGGAAGTGTAGCAGGTATGTATTTAAGGAATAAATAATGATAGGTCATTCAATATGGAGAAGCACAAGTTGGACAGAATGTCGTACAAAGCACGAACCAAAGGTGAGTGCATTTGAACTTCACGATATTGAATGGCCTATCATTATTTAATCCGATTCAAACATAAAAATAAAAACATTATTCAGAGAATTGGGGATTTTGGGTCCATAAAAAACAAACTTGTGGTTATTTTCCCCATTCATAGGTGTGACGTCACAATATATAGATACCCAGATGATTGAATAGAACACGTGCATGTATGGGGAAATAGAGAACGTTCTATATTGGCTATGCTGCATTCTGATTGGTTAAGAAATTCAATTAAAGCACAGTCATGTTTGAATCCAATTTCATATATTTTAATTGTTTAATGTAAAATTTTGAACTCCTAATTGAATTGATCATTATTTGCCACTTCAGTGGTCTTAATAATTATTATATTCAGAATTGCTTCCAAAGCTACCGTAGTGGTGCTTATCCAGGTCAACAAAATAACATATTTCAAATAGATTGTACTTATTTTAATATCTGCTCTATATTTTAATTTCCATTCTATTGAACATTATATGATACCAATGTTACTAAAATGAATATCATTTCTGAAAGATTGTTTTATTGTTATTGTAGGTGGTACTAAAGTTATGCTGGCAGGTACAGGACTAGGACCCCAGGCCACTGTCACAATAGGAGGCAATCCCTGTGAGATTATCAGCAAAAACTACACTAACATTGAGTGCATCTCACCACCAGGGGTAATTAATTTCTAAAACAATATTAAATTTCTAATACAGTACTAAATTTCCTAGGTATTCAAGAATTATACATTTTTCAAAGTGGCAGCAATTTATAAGATTTACCATACCTATACATGCTTTTTAGATATGACAAATTCTAATATGAAGTTCTAGAAATGGGAAAAATGAAGATTGCGCAATCTGTTATTTTCAATAGTTAACATCAGGCAAATGCTTTACAATCTGAAATAATCATATTTTATGCAATATATGAATTTGTGTTGTAGGATAGTGCAGATTCAGTTGAAGTTCAGGTTAGCCAGTTGAGTGGTGTGATAACAAGTAGCACTAACTTTACATATGACCAGTCTCTCACTCCGACTATAAGCAGTATATCAGCCAGCTCTGGGAGTGTCCAAGGTATGTCAACACCACAAAGTGCCAGAAAGGAAAATACCAAAAAGTATTTAAGCACAGTCAGACAGTGGCGTTTAAACATGCAGTTATTCAGAAGGAAACAAACATTCCATATAATTATCCAACACTTATTTAATGATCAAAGCAATTTCAAATCTGACCACATTTTGGGTTTACTATTGATAGTGTACCCCATTTGTGGCAATTAACTATTTCATGACACGATTGCTGTATTATATTTATTGTATGCATTTCTGAAATAGAGAAATGGGCAAATCATATCAAAAATTGTTTTCAAATACTATTACGTGGATATCATTCATGTGACCTGGATTAGGAACAATAGTCTTGTCAATTTGCAGGTGGAGAGAGCATTGATATCTCAGGTAGCATGTTTGGTGCATCACCTGTGGATGATAATGCAGTGCAGGTGGCTGGTATAGCTGCTACCATTGAATCCTGGAGCGATACAGCAATCAGTGTGATCCTCCCAGCCCTACCACCAGGTACTCATCCCCTCATGGTTGCTGTAGGCGAGGATGGATTTGCTGACACAAGGTACATTTAAACACTATGTTTGTATTAATAGTTCTTTGTATATTCTACTTCACTGAACAAAGAGATAGGTAAACACAGGTGCCAAAAGAAGGAAGACGAAAAGAGTATGACATACCACAGCAAGTAATTGAGAACCTAAAAGCCAATCAATCATGTATTGGTTTCTGATTTTTTACTTGGTTTGTTGTAGAGCAAATAATATCCCTGATATCAGTGTTACCCTGGAGGTTACTGATGTTTCCCCCTTAGTTGGTTCCAAAAATGGAGGCACTAAGGTGACCATCACTGGCCAGGGATTTTCAAATGGCACCCTTAAGGAAGTGACTGTTGGTGGCATTGACTGCTCCATTATCTCAGAGTCTACTACAGAAATAGTCTGTGAGATAGGAACCCCAGGCACTGACCATTTTGTGACTAATAATGGAGTTCATTCAAGTAAGATTACTATGCAATCATCCGCTTTCTGGTCTTGAAAGTGAGATTATGCACTCAAGTTTAGCAATAAAAGTAATTGGTTCCATGAGATGATTTTTTAATAACTTGTTGGTAGATTATCACATATAGTACCAAACCAAGCTTTCATTGAAATTCCAAAGATAGACTTAATATTACTTGACATTTAGATACAGGTGATTTTTGAAGATAATAATAGATTAGAGATTATAAATAATGAAATCTTGAATGCCTTTTCCTTCAGTCCATGGTAAGGGTTATGCCTGGGATCCCCAGATAGTGGATATCCAAGAGGGAGATACAGTCAACTGGCAATGGGCAGCCCCTGCTCTAGTGAAGAATGTAGGATACCTAGTTAATCAGACTGTCAACAGTACAGCCAAGGAATATGATGGCTCAGGATTCACTAGTGGTGCAGTGAGAACTGCTCAAGGTAATACTGTATATATGCTTTTGTAAATATTTGATGTTCTCTACTGTGCCAGTAGTATTTTAACTAGGCTTTTAGCAACAATACAGTGGTAAGGCGTACATGTTTGAGGTCGAAATGAACATTCTAAATATGCTCCATGTTACTTGTAGGTTCTTTCAAGCACCAGTTCAATGCTGCAGGAACCTACTACTATTGGAGTGACTATGTTGACCTAGCCTTCAGTGTTTTCCTAAGAGGTACCATCCGTGTAAAAGAGAGAACCTCTTTTAATGGGGCAGTATCCGTTAAAGTGAACAACTTCGAGGCAACATATAACATGGGAGGAGGAGGTATGTACAGCCTTGTCTACCTAATTAGAGAATCTAAAACTTTTGCTTTTATTTTTTGAATAAAGTGCCTGTTCATATGCCTGACAACTTTTGCAATTAATCAAAGATTCAAATGATAATCGAGTGAAAGAAATGGACAACTCCTGTGTTTTTGGTAAGGATTACAAGCCTCTAGTAGGCCTCCTATCAACAATATTGTAAGATAAATAAATACATTTTACAAAATGCGTGCCTAATCTACTGTATGTAACAGCACATTCTAGATCCTAGGAAGAGTTGACACTTATGCCTGGGTCACATTTGCTCCGATTCATCGGCCGGCGTCCGGCTGATTGAGTGTTTTGTTCAATATTGTATTAATTTTTGAACAAAATACTCAATCGCCCGGGCGCCGTAGTGAAAATCGGAGCAAATGTGATCAAGGCATTATATGGCCCCTTATATATAAGTAACTCAATTTAACAAATTAGATTTATACACTTGGTTCCTCAATTGAATATTAAATTTCTCACTGAAACTGCATATGATATTGATATGAACTGTGTTTAAGCTGGAAGAAAAAGGCGTGATACCTGTGCTGCACTGAGCAACACCATTGATGGATGTACCAACTCTGGAGTCTCCAGCAATAACTCAGTAGGCTTTGAATTTGAATTTACTGAATGTAGTACTGCAACTGTGACTTCTGTCAGTCCTAACAGTGGTACCTCATATACTAGCATTACAATCACAGGCACTGGATTTGGACCTGAGATATGCCAGAATGATATTATGATTGGCAGTCAGCCATGTACCATTTCTGCAGCCTCTGAGACCTCTCTGACGTGTAATCTTGACCATGGGGCTGTGCAGCAAGTGGGGGTGGCATACCCTGTTACTGTCACAGTGAATAACCGTGGTGAAGCAGCTAACATGATTGGAGCAACTTTGGATCGCAGTTTTGCACTGCTACCAGAAGTAACAAGCGTTTCTCCAAGCTCAGGGTCAACTGCAGGTGGTACTGTGGTTACTATCTCAGGCTCCGGATTTTCTGCAGCATTTGAGGATACTTCTGTATCAATCAATGGAATTGATTGTGCAGTTGAGGATGTCACTTATACTACTGTGACCTGCATAACAAGCCCATCCATAGCAACATCTGGTGATGTCGTAGTAGCAGTAGGTCAGTTCATGTCAACTTGTGAAGGCACATGCATATATGCATATAGTGATGCTGACACACCTACTGTCTCAGGTATATCCCCAAATACAGTCAGTGGCAACTCTACAGCTGTCATCATAAGTGGCACTAACTTTGGCACCAATGCAGGAGATGTTCAGATCAAAGCTGGTATGCAAGAATGCACAATTACAGATATAACAGATACCAGTATCTCTTGTGCTTTTGGCTATGTGACAGTTGGGGAGCAGTCGTTCAGTCTTAACATTGTAGACAAAGGTAAAGCTGTGACAAGTGTATCGAGCCTGACCAGTGAAGCTGTTGTGGACTCATTGAGCCCAAATCAAGGCAGTGTCAATGGAGGAACATTGATCACCATACAGGGCAATGGATTCGATGATTCAAGCACTCTGGTTACAATAGATGGTGCTGAATGTGAATTAGTGACAGTAACTCTCGCACAGGTACAGACAATTTTCATGCATTCCTTTAACAAATTCTGAACATCTGAAAAACATCAAATTTTAGTTATCTGACTACATGACTACATACATTTTGAAATTAACAAGAAAACTTAATTTTATTACTTTATTTTCAGATAACTTGCACAACGGGTGCAAACGTAGATGGAGCAGCCAAGGTGAACATTGTGTCAAATAGTGTGACATATCCCGAACAAGACTTTACCTATTCTAATGCCATAACTCCTGTCGTATCAAGTGTAAATCCAACTTCTGGAGGAACTGGGGATGACATTACTATAACAGGAACTGGATTCTCATCATCAACATCAGATGTGTCTGTGATGATTGGTACTGCTTCATGTAGCGTGACAGCATCGTCAACAACATCGATAACATGCACATTAGGAAGTAGTCCATCTGGGTCATACACTGTAGATGTTGCAATTGATGGTGTTGGCATTGCAACAACATCAACATCCTTCACATACACACTCAGAGTTGACAGCATCTCACCAACTAGTGGTAGTTTAGGAGGAGGGCAGCCAGTGACTGTGTCTGGTGTAGGATTTGAACCCAGTGATACCCAGGTGACCATTTGTGGAGAGGCATGCATTGTGGACAAGGATGCAAGTACCTCATCTGATATCTTGTGTGTCACTCCAAGTAACAGTGGTAAGTGCTAAATTATTGATTTAAATATATAAGCACAAGTGCCAAAGGGAAAGGACCAAAAGTTGTAATGGAACTTAGCAAGAAAAAACTCTAAGTGCATACCAGTCAAGAAAAACAAACCCCATATAGCCCAAAACCATGATCTAACGTAAATGTGTTTATCATAAAAAATGCAAGTACACCTCATCCAGGACATATTAGTACATTTAGTGTGACATTGTGTTCACTTTGCTACTTTATTTTTCAGGTAGTGGCACGGTCACATGTGATGTTGTTCTGTCATCAGGTTTGTCAAATGATACTCTTAGCTCTGGCTACACCTATGACAGTTCGATGACCCCTGCTGTAACATCAGTATCCCCAGCAAGGGGTGGAACAGGAGGAGGACTCTCAGTCACTATTGCAGGATCAGGATTTGGGTATGTTTTTCACATATTCATGGATCAAATTTGATTGTATGGCTTTACACATTTATTAATTGGATGCATTTGCTAAAGTACTAGTTCAATGTTATAGTTACAGAGTTGAAACTAGCATGCATTGTAATATATCCAAATTTTCCCCAAGTCTATGATCTATTTCAGCTCAAGTGTTGGAGATGTGAATGTGACAATAGATGGCACAGTTTGTGCTGTATCTTCAGTAGATGACACAGCAATTGTGTGTGTCACCGGTGCACACTCCTCTTCAATAAAGACAAAGGTCAGGGTGGAAATAGGAACAAGTGGAATCGCTACTCAGGTAGGAGAAGAATCAGCATCACAATACTTGATTAAAATAAATTGTGAAACTGAGCAAAAACAATTATTTGAATTGAATTAAATCATGGTTGTGCTTTGAAATGTCAGATTTAACAAAGTATTCACATTTTGTTGTTCTAATTGTTATCGAATAGTTACATTCCTAATAAATCTATGCTATGATATTACTTTTTGCTAATATTTTAGGATGGTGCAGATTTCTGGTACATTGATGTTTACTCTTCACCATACACATGGGGCGGCAATGACCCACCTGTTGAAGGGGACTTCATAGTTGTACCTGACTCCATGACTCTCCTTATAGATGTTGACACACCAATTCTTGCATTCCTGCTTATCCAAGGTATGTAAATTTCCATTAAAACTCACTAGTAGACATCCATTGACATCCATTTACTTTCAATAAAAAGTTTACATATCATGTAATATCATTTTTATAACTGATATTTTAAACAATTTGCTAAATAAAATTCCACGTGAGTTTATTGAAAATTAAAAAAGTATAGAACTAGTATAGGTGAAATATACTCATGTAATTAAATATCCATGGATGTGTTATTTGACCCTATTTCAGGTGGTACTGTAATGTTTGATGACAGCAAAGATATCCACCTTCAAGCTAATAACATCCTCATTGTTGGTGGAGGCTCACTTCAGGTAATCAAAAAGGATATTATTTTTTCATTAGTCATAGAATGTGTCTCATGATATAAATATATTCTGCTGGTTGTTATGAGAGCCCAGATGCCAGTAGGTAGCTACCAGTTTCACCACCAGGTGGCTAATTCGGATCTGATAACATGGCTGATATAGTAGAAGGTTTCCTTTTTGATTATTCTTCAGTTTTATTGGATCAATTTTCCTAATGTATCTGACAGTTATAGAAACTGAAATATATAAAGACATTATCTCAAAATGTTAGTTAGAACCTCCAATAATGGTGTTATATTAAATATCCACGAAATATTTCAGGTTGGAACTGAGTCTGAACCCTACCAGCACAAGGGCATCATCACCATGCATGGGCATCTCAGATCCTTGGAATTTCCCATATATGGCACCAAGACAATAGCAGTCAGAGAGGGAACAATAGAACTACACGGTATGAATTAAGTGATCTCTTTTTTGACAACTTATATATCTGTAGAAATTAGATAACAGTAGCACATGTTTCATAAGCCTTCAGATCAGATTTTGTCTGTGTGTCCACGTTATAACTCAAATACTGGTTGATGAATTTGAAATTTAATAGGCTGATGCCTTATGGCGATAGAACCTCTGCTCGTTGAAATTTTATATGCGATGATACCTAGGGACACAAGAGCTCTCCTCGAGAAGGAATTTTTAAGATGGCAGCTGAATTTCAAAATGGCCGTCAATTTTTCTTAAAATAATGTAATTTTTGATAACTCAAATACCAGTAGATGGATTTCGTTTAAATTTTACATGCGTATGGCTAGGGACAAACAATCTTTGCCAAAGAAGACATTTTCAAGATGGCTGCTAAATTTCAAATTATCAAAGGAGCTCTGCTCAAGGAGACATTTTCTAGAAGGCCACTTTTTTCAAAATGGCAGCCATTTTTGGAGAAAATCATAATCTTTGATGATCAAATACCAGTAGGCTGATTTGGTTCAAACTTTATTCACACTAATGCCTCTCCTCAAGATAGCAGCTGAAATGGCCACCATTTTTCATAAAAACATTTTCTTCAATAACTCAAATACCAGTGGATAGATTTGGTTCTAAATTCATATTCTTATACCTCTAGGGACAAGGGAGCTCTTTTCACGAGGAGATTTTCAAGATGGCCGCTATTAATTCTAAACATGTTTTGTTCAGTGGGATTTGCTACTCCGTGGAGTTGCTGTCTTCTAAATTTTTGAAATTATCTTACCATACATGTCTATTGTCAAATAATTTATCAAATAGTCTGGGAATTAATTAAATCTGTGTGTGAACTGATTGACAGATCTCTTGTAGGCAAGCCTATTAGTCCAACATGGACTCATCTTGGCTCTACTGCAGCTGCTGGTGCCACTTCTATAACACTCAATGAAGCTGTAAGTGGCTGGACTGTAGGGGATGAAATTGTCATAGCAACAACAGGTGGTAGACACTCACAGAAGGAAACTGAGACAAGAACTATCACTGCAATATCTGGGACAACTTTGACATTAGACTCTGCGCTGGTGTATGAGCATCTTGGAGTTTCGGAGACCTTCTCAGATGGTACAACTGTTCAATTTAGAGCAGAAGTTGGGCTCCTTACAAGAAATGTTGTTGTGAAAGGGTCAAGAGACATGCAGTGGGCAGATGAAATAGAGGCTTGCCCTGATGGCTTTAACACAGGTATGAACACACGTTTTTATAGTATTTTATAGATGTAATGACATAAGCATATTTTCTTGGGCTCCCAAATTGTACACTACTATCTAAAACATTTAAAAGAGCATTATCATGCTTCCCTCTTCTACATTCAATAAAGAATATTACATTGAATCAATCAATGTTTCAAGATATAGAGGTTGCATTAAGTCGGTTGGACATTTTTACTGAAAATAAATCTGAGCTTGGCCAAACGTAATCAATTTTAACCAATGAAAAACAGAGGTTTATTATGCAAAGACTAATCCATTTGGTATATTTTGGTATGGTTATCTTAAATGTTTACACAATTTTGTTTGATCAACATCAGTAATGTCAATTTCTGAACACTACTTAACATTAATCAAGAAAGCTGATATTTATTGTGTGACATATTTTAGGTGAGTTTGCAGTTCAGACTTGTTTCCAAGGACGGTTTGGCGAGGAGATTGGTTCAGACCAGTTTGGGGCAACAATTATGATGCATGCTCCTGAGAAAGACCAGGACATTGTTGCTGGGCATTTTTCATATGTTGAAGTGACATATGCTGGACAGGCATTCCGTCTTGGTCGCTATCCTATCCATTTCCATCTCAATGGGGACATGTCTGGAAGTTATGTGAAAGGATGTGCTATCCATGAGACCTTCAACAGAGCTATTAATATCCATGGCACCCATAATGTACAGATTGAGGATAATGTTGTGCATAATGTTATGGGTGGAGCACTCTTCTTAGAAGATGGTATAGAAACTGGTAATGTCTTTGATCATAACTTAGTTGTCTTTTGTAAACAGAGTACCAGCTTGCTGAATGATGACATCACTCCAGCTGCTTTCTGGTGTACAAATGCTAACAACACATACACAAGAAATACAGCTGTTGGTGGCACGCATTTTGGCTTCTGGTATCGTATGCATGACCATCCCGATGGTCCTTCATTTGACAGTAGCATTTGTCCAAAGAAAAGTCCTCTAGGACTTTTTGACAACAACATTGTCCACTCCCAGGGATGGTTTGGTCTGTGGATCTTTATGGAGTGGTACCCAATGAAGGGAGGTGGATGTGGATCAAATGAAGCTGAGCCCGCTGTCTTCAAACGTCTAACTGTATGGAACTGTGAGAAGGGAGCAGAAGCTGTTAGTGTTGGTGCTGTACAATTTGATGGCGCTATCATGGTCAATAATGATAAGGCTGGCATTGAGTATAAGATGATAAAAAATGTACCAAAGTATCATCCGAATGGAGCTCTTGTAAATAATAGCGTCATTATTGGTGATGCCACATCATCAAATTGGATTTCATGCACAGGATCTGGTGTGATACTGCCATGGGATGCAGGATTTGTGATTGCTAACACTAAGTTTGTCAATTTCAATTCAGGTTCATGTACTTCATTTGGTGTGACACGTATAGATGGTACATGTACATTTGAATGTGGCGGTTGGGATTATATTGTTTATGGATTGGAATTTTTTGAATCTCCAAATAAGATCAAATTTACTTGGCCACATGAAGCTATGATTAAAGATCTTGATGGCAGTTTGACAGGAACTGTTGGTGCAACTGTGTCGCCAAGCAACCCTTCTCTTCCACCATCTTGTGCTGGAAGCTCTTCATTCAGTATTGGGTCCACACCAGGCAGTGTATGCACTGACCCTAATCTAAAGTTTCTACGATTTTCCTGGAACAAAGCAGTCCCAAAGTCACTGGAGGCAAAGGATGTATTCTTTACAAATCAGTATGGAACAACAGGAGTTCATTTTTTGAAGAAGAGGTTAACACATCCAATGGGTTGGATGGTATCTTTGGTGTCTGGAGAGAGGTACAACATGTTGTTTGAGCATGCAGGCCACATCACAAACATCACATATAATGGAAAATTCTATGGTCTAACGGTGAGTGGTATAATCGAGTGAAACAACTTATACATTATTGTGATGCAGCAATATGAGTATGTAAACTAAGGCAAATGAAAAGAAAACCAAAATGCAATAAGTACACACATTGATTATGTATCAAGCAAACCTGAATGTGAACTCGAATTTATCTTTCAGAATGATGAATATGTCATAATAGAGCATAACTTCACACAGACTCCAGACAGGTTCAGTCTAAATGGCATGTTAGACCGCAATGAGACTGCTGAAGAACTGAGCTATTCTAATGATAATGTATATGACTACCACTTTGATGAATCCACCAAGGATTTCACATATCTTAGTAAGTATGGCCACAATGGCCAAAGAGCCTGAATTCTTAACTTCAAGTTTAGTTTGGGGTTATTTGGGTACCTAAGAGATGTGTAGATTTTTGTCACATATGCAGATCAGAATTATATGCAATGACAAATTTTATTGTAGCATTTAGATTTAATAATGTGTTACTAGTATCTATAATACTTTTCCAGTATCTGGTAAATCTCTGTCCAAGCGTGCCGTGGATGTTGATGGTACTGTTGACTACTATGGGTCTAACTTCAATGTAAACCCAAGAGTATACAGATGTTATTACAAGGATTGTATCCCACCAGTAGATCCTTCTACTGTGCCACCTCCATCAACTCGACCAGATGATTTCCAATATTGGTCAGACAGTGCCTACTGGGAAGAGTCCAATTCAAGAAGACGCAGAGCAGCGCCAAGTGATGGTGATGATGTCATCATTAGGGCCGGTGGGCAATTTACCTTTGATATATGTGAAAAATGAAAAGCCTTTTTGTTATGATTTTTCAGCAATAATAAAAATTGTCTTGGCATTTAAAGATTGTACATTATTTTATATATCAATATATAAGCACTAGTGCCAAAGGGAAAGGACCAAAAGTTGTAATGTAGATAACTCATTATCAAAAAGAAGTAAAAAGAAATTGGAATCATTTTAGTGTCCCTTATTGATGTTCTGAATGCTATGTAGATTATGTATGTTTAGGTACAATTCTCTGTTCTTGCCCTTCGACTCGATACAGTTTTTCACTTTACGTTCTTTTTCACTATATATTACTGTAGTGTTCTTTACTTCTGGAAATGTGATAACTGATAGTCATTCATTTTTATGAAGTATAACAAGACATCAAACCATTTTAAAGAGGTAACTGATAGTCAAAATTATATAGGACATACTTTTGGTAAATGAGTTTACCAATCCCTAGACTGTAACCATGAGTGAAAATTGAAAAGATATCAGATGTAAGATAATCGCAGAAAAATGGGATTTTAGATCTTGAATCCATATACTGACCATACATCATATTTTAGAGACACATATTCTATTATCGTTTCGGTAACTAGTTTGAAGAGATGAGGACACATCATTTGTGAGGACACACCATTTATCCGAATTACAATGGTCCAAATTCCATTCGTCTGAACCTAAATGGTCTGAGTCTAATTGTCCGAATCCCATTTGTTCAAAACCAAAGGATCTGAATATTAACAATGTCAATATGATATCTTAGGAGACAACAGGGAAATATCATACAGAACGACTTCGCATAATGTTTTGGCTCAGCGTATTTAAAACATGCATAAATTCTGTTGACCAAATATAGGCATTTGTACGTTGGACAGTAATGCATCTAATTTTAACATTAAAATCAATTATTGAACGTTCTTAAAGTCTGTTGAACCCAAATCAGAAATAAACCCTGACATTGACTTCACATGACAGTGAAGTTTAAAACGCCATGATATTACCAATAAACATGGCTAAACGGGAATTCAATATTATTCAACAATCACAAATCAACGTGATATTTTATTCCATGTTCACACATTTCTTGCATCTTCATCTTGATATTAGAATGAAATGTAACAAGGCGGAATTCGGACCGATTTGGATGATTGGGATTTGAATGAATGGAATTCTCCTTAGAAATTTACTTATGTATACTTTTATTTAGCTCTCATAATATGCATCAAACATATGAATGCTTTAATTCATCCTATGCACTTTTGAGACACGTTATGTATATATAGAGGTATGTATCCTATTGTTGATCATTTATCACTTTAGATACATGGGTGGTGGCAGATGTAGAACTGCCCTATATGAACAAACTGACCATCTATGGTGTACTTGAGCTTGAGCATCTCCCTGATCCTGAAACTGGCAAGGTTCGGGACTTCACACTCAATGCTACTTATATCTTCATAACTGGTCGATTCATTGTTGGTTGGCCTGATGCACCTTACACTGGACTATGCCAGATCATCTTGAATGGAGATCACAATACCCCTGACATGCCCCTGCCTGATGGACCTAACATGGGATCTAAAGTACTAGGTGAGCAACGTTTCATCCAATTGTGTTATTTAGTTAGGGTTCATGAATCACCAAAGCTTTCAATGAATCATATTTCCTATCAAAATATACTCATAACTTTGCATCCTTGCACATTTTGTAAAGATTGATTTTATCAAAAATGATGAGTGATTGAACAAACAGAATTCACTCTCAAATACCAAAATAGAAGCTCAGGTTTTGCTGCAATTATACTATTTTATGAGTATTACTATTTAAATGTTTTTGAATTGATTGATGTTTTCAACATCCTTTTAAAATGTTGCTTGTTTTCAAAGGTGCCTTTGGTGGTCTTGACTTGTGGGGTGTGAACAGGACTGTAACATGGACCAAGTTAGCTTCAACAGCCAGTGTTGGTGATAATACCATTACACTAATTGAACCTGTAGACTGGGTAGCTGGAGAGCAGATTGTTATTGCTCCAACAGCACTTGATCCATGGGAGACAGAGACATTTAGTATTGTGTCTATTTCCGCTGACAACCTTACCTTAACACTGAATGATACTCTTGCATACAGACATACAAGTAGGTGATAGTTCCATTTAAGGATGTTTTTTAAATCTTAAGTTTAGTTAGAGGAATTGTACAATATGATAACAAAAATAACTCTCTTTTATATGTAGTAGTGACTTAATTGATTTGAAAATTCTTTAAGACTTTTTAATACTAAATGCCATATGAAAAAAGACATTAATTAAAAAGATATTAAATAATGCTTTTAGGTGAGACAGAGACATATGGTACATATACAGTGTCAATGGCTGCTGAGGTGGGTTTACTCACTAGGAATATACGGATAATTGGAGCTGATTATGACAAGCTTTACCAACAGTCATTTGGTGCCAGGGTCCTCGTTGGAACTTTCAGACAAGGCAGCAAATTCTTCACCGGTAATTAAGTTTAGTATGAGATGAACTTGATAATAACAAAACTGACTTGTGACATTTTATCATGATACTACTTTTAAGAAGTGAAATATAGAATAATAGGAAGTGTTACTGTCTATATTTATTTTATAAAACTTTAAACAGTTCTTATTATCAATAAGAAATTGATAAGTACATTTGTGTCATCTAAAATTCTAGGTTATGCACGGCTTAGCAATGTAGAGTTCTACCATACAGGCCAAGAGGGTTATGTCGAGGATTATGATCCTAGGTATTCACTGGCATTCCTTAGCACTGGAGCAAACACTGAACTAAGACCATCTTCTATATCTCGGTGTTCTTTCCATAATGGATTTTCCCCAGCAATAGGACTATTTGGTGCCACTGGCATACCTGTCACAGACAATGTGATACATCACACTGTGGGTCAGGGTAGGTAGAAACTGCATCCAATATTATTATCTGGAATGATTCCTATCATATCATGTTTTACACGACGGATATGTTTCAGTCATTCAGATACTTTCTTACCATAATATATTGGACACAAATGATAGTTACTAATCATATTCATAATATACATAATGATTGCCTTCCATATCACATTTCACCTTGGAAATGATTTCTTAACATATCATATTTTGCTTGAGGATTATTTGATTTCTATTCTGTGGTTACTTTCTTTTGCAGGTATGAGGTTAGCTGGGTCCAGTCATGAAATACGCAGAAACTTCCTGACGTTGATGATATGGCCAGGATCGTACCAGGACCGTTCTGAACCTTTTAACTTCGACTACGAAGGCTCTATTGAGGTGCAGGAGGGTGTAGATATTGTCCTTGAGGGCAATCATGTTGCAGGATCTGAGAGGGCTGGCTTCCATATTGATGGTGAAGCTTGTTCAGGTACATGTACACACTCACCTTGAGTCCATATTTGGCAGTTTCATATATACCTGTGATTATCATTATCAAAAAATAGAACTAAATAAAGTAAATCACTCTATTGCATGTTCAAATTACATAAAATCATTTAAGTGTTAGAATATTTTTATTCATTAAGTAAGACTGATTTTGCTCTAAAATGTTTACTTGACAATCACTGCTCCACAGCTGGATGACTCTAGCTGTGTAGCTTCATTCAAGATGGTTGCTGAAATTATTTTGATAAATCTCTGATTTCCGCTGAAGTAAGTTGAATCTGGATTCCAAATGTTTCACCATTCAGATTGATAAAGCTACGATGGTAAATAACCACAAACAAATGCTCAAACAACTGCTATATTGGAGAATTTTAAAGAAAATGGCTTCACTTAGAATGACTCTAATTGTAGATGATGATGACGTAATGATGGTGTAGATCATCAACTTCAGTTAGAGTCATTCTAAGTGAAGCCGGTTTCTTTAAAATTCTCTAAAATTGCATGTGTTTGAGCATTCATTTGTGGTTGAATACAATCATAGTTTAATTAATTTGCATGGCGAAACTTTTGGAATCAAGATTCAAATTAG